TATTTTCATTTTTGTTTAGTTTTGGTCCCCTATTTTAAGTTTTATTTTGAATTTTAGTCCCCCTTTTCAATTTGGAACTAATTTAATAGGGGGGCCAAAAGTAAAAAAAAAAGAAAATAAGGAGACCAAAACTAAAAAAAAAAATGAAAATGTAGGGACACAAATTTCGGAGTTTAAAATAAGGGGACCAAAACTCAAAAAATTGAAAATAGAGGGACAAAAATTCTGAATTTTAAAATAGGGAGATCATAACTAAAAAAATGAAAATAGGGGAATCAAAATTGCAATTAAGCCTAAAAGAAAAATAACAAAAAGTTCTGGGGCGAGAGGGATTCGAACCCCAGACCTTAAGCTTACAACACATACAAACCAAACACATGACCAACACGGCGCAATGCCAATTCAAGATATAGAATGACAATTTAAAAATAAATAATAAAAGAGGTTTTAAAAATGAAAAAAGGCGCCACCATCATCTTCTTCGTCTGAAACTTCTTCTTCCATTTTTTAATTCCTGGAATTCGTAACTCTTTTATCTCTCAATGAAATTGCACGATGTAAACATGAAAGTTGCTTGAAAAATCCCTAGGAACACAATGACATAATTTAATTGTGTTAATTTTCACTCAATAAAAAACTATCAATCCAACATCAATATGAATCCTAAAATTATAATCCATAATAAAATAACATACATCACATATTCAGATCAATTTACATAGGGTTAATGATCACTGCATTATGGCAAGTATGTCTGCAATTCAAATGGATGAAAATGATGTAAGGATCACAAAGTTTCAAAAGTTCAAGACTTACCTATTGGAGTAGGTCCAATGCCTCTCCAAATGTACTCCCAGATAATGCATGATTAGTCATAAAAGCTTCCTTAACCCCCTTAGATGATTTTAGGATGCTTACTTTGTATTGAAACAACTTCAAACTCCTTACACGGTTCTTCTTGCAAAATGACAAAGAGAGAATTTGATCTTGATGCAAATGGTGTTACAGATGCAAAATGATGCCTTGGACAGTTCGTGTGGAGTTTTTGGATGGTGTTTGGATGATTAGATTGAATGTAAATGGCTTGGATGAAGAGTTATGTTGTTTTGGCCAAAAAGTCAACTATGGAGCAAATGAGAGTTGACTTTTAGATTATGAGGCTTTTTACTGAAATGGATGGTTTGGACAGTTGAGAGGGATGATTTGTGGTGTTTGTGAATAGGTAGTTTGAGTGTTTTATGATTGTGGAAAGTTTTGACAAGTTTTGTGAAATGGAGGCTTTTGCAACAATGGAGGTTGATATGCAAGTTCGAATGTGTAATGTTCTGAGGTTTGGCTCTCTATTTATAGAGACTCCAAATGGTCTATGTAACTTGCTGAAGTTTGGTTTAGTTTAAACAGAATCCTAGTTCAGAAGTTTTGTTTCAAATTGCACAAGTAACCACACTTATGTCATGATAAATAGATGAAGTGAAATGAGAAAAATAGCTATGCTTTTTTGAAGTTTAGAGGTTGATTTTGACCCTTAGTGATTTGTTTTTGATATGATAAAACAACTTGGTGGCTTAATGCACAAGTGGTTGGAAAAAAAACAACCTTTATCAAAATAGCCGTAATGCTTTATGCCAAAACTTCCATAAATGGTATCAAGAATTAGACAAAGCCATAATTCCTTGTGTAATGCATCAAAGGTTTGTGTAATTCTCTGATCATAGTAAGATTTAGAAGTAAGATGGCCTGCAAAGTGAGATTATGCATCTTAGGCTTGGGTTTGGTCATGAAACTTGCCATGAAAGTGACTTGTAATTCAGCTTAGGCTTTGTTATAAATTCATTTTATTGGACTCTTTAGAAAGCTTGAGACATCCTCTATAACTTTCATGTTGACCACTTTCCTTGAATCATTTGGGATCATGGTGAAAAATGCTTGCAAAGTCAGTTACTTTCATGGTCTCATATCTCTTTATACATGCATTTTTTGGAATCCATTCCCTAGAACAAAGTTGGAGTATGTAGCAAGACCTTCAATTTGATATTTGGAGCAAAGAAAATGATTGTTTGAGGAGAAATTTATGATCTTGAGAAATTGGGCAAAAATCATGGAATTTCATAACTTAGAAAAACCAAGAAAACCCTAATTTTCCCAAATTATGATCTTTAGATGTTTCCTTTGATTTTCTTGATTGCTTATCATCCAATTCACATATTTTCATTATCCTTGACTAGATGAGTTCATGTTTGACCAAAAACCTCAAAAGTCAAACTTGATTTTGATCACAATTGACTTTTCTTCAGATGAATTTGAATTCTTCCATTGCTCATGAATCAAATTTCTTGGATCAATCCAATCATATGAATGGACTAATATGATGCATTTGAGGTCCTTGAAACATATCTTGAGGTGTTGGATCATTCACTGCTTCAAAAGTCAACCCAAGGACTTAATTAGGTCAAAACACTAATTTAGGTGCATATGATGATTTAGGGCTTGTTGATCTTTATTCAATGCAATCTTACACTTGATTATTGATGATAGGAGACCCTTGATCAATTTTTAATAAATAAGGGCTTGAGAGTTTGAGAATATCATAATCCTTTGACTGGTCAAACTCTTGATCTTCTTGACACCAAAACCCTAACTTATGATCAAAGCAAAACCAAAGTACATATTTTGTATCCTCAATGGGTTAGAAATGCATAAACACACACACATGAGATGATGAATATCATGTAAATGAGGTGAGATCTTAGGATTAAAAATTAGAGCGTGACACCCTCCTTATGTCTTTTGGTGGCTTTCTGAATTTTCAACTTTCTTTTGATTCTGGTTCCAAGGGAAGTTTTGCTTTATACGTCCTTTCTTCCCACATTGAAAACATGTTGGAACTAATAAAGATTTTCCTTATTTTCTACACTGAAATTCTTGTTGCTTTTCATGCTTTATAATATTTTTAGTTCCAAATAATCAATGACACTTCTTCATCGACACCTGACTCTTTATCTTCTTATACTTTGAGAGCTAGGAATTTCCTCCATTTGTCTCATTCTTTATCATTAACTAACCTTTTTAGCTTTATTCGTGTCTTGTGATTTGCCAAACAAAGTAGCCAAATTCATAAAAGACAAGTTCTTATATTTAGAAATCATAGTGGCTTTAGGTTGCCAACCACGATTTAAGCATCTAAGCACTTTTATAACCAAATCCCCATTTTGAAAAACTTTACCCAAAGTTCTCATATGATTCACAATATGAATAAATGATTTTTTGATATCTTGAATGTTTTCTTCAGATTTCATTGTGAAGAGCTCGTACTCAAGGTCAATGTGTTCTTCCTAATTTTTTTTTACCTCAGTTGTACTTTCATGGGTAACTTGAAGGGTGTCTTATATTTCTTTTGTAGCACCGCAGCGAGAGACATGCAAAAATTCATCAATAGCGAGAGCAGTAATGATAATAGTTTTTGCTTTTAAACTGCGTTGCACTTTTTCTTTATCCTCTTTAATCTAAATATCAGTATCTTTGTTAATCACAACACCATCAACTAGATGTGTGGAAATAAAATGACAACTTTCACCGAAGTCTAAATATCATAATCCATTTCTTCTATAAAGATTCTCATATTCTCTTTCCATAAAACATACATTTCTCTATTGAAGGATAAATATCAGTTTAGTGAATCATTTGAAGTCATTTCCTCTTGAGACATTAATCTTATAAAAAGAATTAAGCTCTGATGCCACTTGTTGATCAAGTGACTCCAAATAATTTAGCTTTTGGAGATTTATTGTATCTTTGGTTTAACTTTTGAAAAGTTAAAATCAATATTAGAGATGTAGAATTGATTTTGGCATGATTTTGAAATGTTTTGTTTTTGTAAAGTAGAATTTATTTTGCCTCCGAAATTTATTATGCTTGAAACTATCATTTAAAATTTTTGAATTTAAACATGATTTCTACATTGAAATTTATTTAAAATTTAATGTTTGAACTCAATTTTACGTAAAATTATTCAAACATAAATCACTTTACATTCAATTTATTTTAAATCAGAATCAATTTTACCAAATCAATTTATCCATAATCAAATTTTTTCACCACAATTAACGAAGAAAATTTCCATTATTTTTTTTAGTATATTTAAATGAGAGATTTTAATAAAAAAATGAAGAATTTTTAAAATAAAAATTTATAAAATATTTTGTATACAAAAAGTATAGAAAAAGAAATATTAAGAAAAAGACGGAGAAAAAGAAATAAAAAGTTAATAAATATAGAAAAATAAGCTAGGAAAGGGAAAGATTGAAAGTAAAAAAAGGAAATAATCACATTATTAATTAGGAAATGAATCACACTATTATTGTTGTTAGATAATCACAAAAAGAAAACACATCAATTAACTATTTTTTTTATTAAAATTATCTAACTTTTCTTCTTGCAAAGAAAAAAGAAAAAGAAAAACATGAGAATATAGTTAGTTAGGTACCCCTCATGTGCATGTCTTACCATCTTCTTCTATAACTCACCAACCCAACAACCTCGTCATTTTCATTTTCCTTGTTTTTTTTTGTTTCATTTAATATTAACAAATAAAAATAAAAACTTTCAACTATAAATAGAACCATCACACAAACCCAGATCGTTCGTTCATCTGTTCGTTAGATCCAACGACCCATCCCATCCGCCTCATCCTCTTTCGGTAATTCCTAGATCTTCACTTTCTTTTATTTTCCAATTTATTTGTTTATTTATTTATTTTCAGTTTGCTGAATCTTAAAGCTTCGATTTTGATCTTAATTTTGAACACCCTTGAAGCTAATTTGAAATGGGTATTTTTTTTTAAAAATAAAAATAAAAATGATACTGGGTTGAATTTCTGAGTGAGATTTTATGTTTGAGTTTATTGCATGTTTTGTAGTAGTAAGGATGAATAAGCTCTTGAATTGAATGAATTATTAGTTAATTGAGTTAGTTAGTTGGTTGGTGAAATAGATTAAGAAGAAATGGCTCGCAAGAAGATCAGAGAGTATGATTCCAAGAGATTGTTGAAGGAGCACTTTAAGAGACTATCTGGCAAAGACTTACCTATCAAGTCTGCACAAGTAAGTTCTCTTAATCAACTTAATTAAGTGCTTATTCGATAATTGCTTATCGCATGAGAATTTACGCCTATTTGGATTGACTTGTTTGACTTGTTTGAGTTTATTTACTGATTTAGTACTTGTGATGATAGAAGTTTAAAAAAGATCAATTTTTCAGAGTTAGTATGCTTGATTGCTTGCACAATGTTGCCTTGATTCGGTTTAGTAATGAGTTTGTTTCGGTTTTTTAGGTTACGGAGTCCACTGATTTCACTCAGCTGCAAGACAAGGAACCTTGGCTTTCTTCTTCCAAATTGGTCGTGAAGCCGGATATGTTATTTGGGAAGCGTGGTAAAAGTGGTTTGGTTGCGTTGAATTTGGACTTGGCACAAGTTGCTTCATTTGTGAAAGAGCGTCTTGGTAAAGAGGTATTTTTCGATCTCTGGCTCGGTCCTCGAACTGGCATTTTGTTTTTCTAGTTGTTTTAAGTATTTTCCTTTCGATTGTTTTTATGTATTTTAGTTACATGTTTATTGAATATATAGGTTGAAATGGGTGGATGCAAGGGACCGATAACAACTTTCATTGTTGAACCTTTCATCCCGCATAATGAAGAGTTTTACCTTAACATTGTCTCTGACAGACTTGGGAACAGCATAAGCTTTTCAGAATGCGGAGGAATCGATATTGAAGAGAATTGGGATAAGGTACTGCAACAAATAATTTTTCGTCTTGCAGATTGAACACTATCTATGTCCTGAATGTATAAAGTTTCCCCTTATAATATCCATAGGCTACAAAGTGGTTTTCGTATTTCAGGTTAAGACAGTTTTTGTTCCAACGGGAGTGTCTCTTACATCAAAAGTTGTTGCTCCACTTGTTGCAACCCTTCCCTTGGAGGTAAATTCTATTTTACCGCCACTTTTTATGCAGATTATATTTATGCATATAAACTCGATGTGATTGATTACCCGGTACTTTGTGTTTTTATAGATCAAAGGGGAAATCGAGGAATTTCTCAAAGTGGTTTTCAGTTTGTTTCAAGGTATACAAAGTAACAAAATTTATACTAATACACCATTGGACGGACTTGTGCTGTCTGCTTTATAAATCGTAGTTCAGTGTTATCAAATAAGGGCCCATGGGTGCTATGGTGGATATACATGGCAGTTTTTGTGCTCACCACAATGGAAAATATCGGCAAATATTGCGGGTTTTTCCGCCATAATCCGCTATAACGGCACCACAAAGCGGACTGTATGCCAGGATTTTGGCTCTCCACCATGGATTGCCATCTGCCATCGACAACACTGTCGTAGTAACATTTAAACGATACCATTTTTTTAAAAATTTATATATCTAATTGTTTATTTTGTTTTTGTGTTAGACTTGGATTTCACTTTCTTAGAGATGAATCCTTTCACATTGGTTGATGGAAAGCCTTATCCTTTGGATATGAGAGGCGAGCTTGATGATACTGCCGCTTTCAAGAACTTCAAGAAGTAGGTTCTTTCTCTTTAACTAACGTGTGTTATTTTTTTGGACAGAATACTTGTGCTACTTCATACCGATTGGTATTTTGCAGTAAATATTTTTAAACGAACAGACGTTGTCGTAATGGTTGTAGGTGGGGTAACATTGAATTTCCACTTCCATTCGGAAGGGTTATGAGTGCCACCGAGTCTTTCATTCATGGATTAGATGAAAAGGTACGCCAATATAACTTCCGACCTAAATGTACAATCTTATTCAACTCAGTCAAGACATCTCCGACTTCGTTGTCCAACATGTGTTGGTGTCAGACACCGACACGATTTCGAACATTTAGTCACTTCTATTTTCTTAAATTATTACAGGTGTCTACATGTCTGTATTAATAAGTTGGTGAATGAAATAATACTATTACTTATAGCTATGATTTGATTTTAAAAGTTAATTTATACGCTTATTTAATTTTTGCAGACCAGCGCATCTCTAAAATTCACAGTGTTGAACCCAAAAGGCCGAATTTGGACAATGGTTGCTGGTGGAGGTGCTAGTGTCATCTACGCTGACACAGTGAGTGCCGACTATTTTTCGAACCAAATTCATACTTAATATCCGTATCTGCAGCACGAAGTGACATCTTTTGTGCTTACTATTAAATCAGGTAGGAGATCTCGGCTTTGCATCCGAGCTTGGAAACTATGCCGAATACAGCGGTGCACCCAATGAAGAGGAGGTTTTGCAATACGCCCGAGTTGTGATTGATGTAACTAATTTTTATTTATGCTTCATTTTTTATGTACCTATTCAATTTAGAGATTGAACAGTCGTGTTTACAATGGTGCAGTAGTAATCTTTTTATTTCTTTCCAGTGTGCAACTGCAGATCCCGATGGCCGAAAAAGGGCTCTCGTTATAGGGGGAGGCATAGCTAACTTCACCGACGTTGCTGCTACTTTTAGTGGCATCATTCGGGCACTAAGGGAGAAGGTAACACAACACAATGATCATAATATTTTGCTTAGTTGTATCAATAGAATCTTCTTGTAGTATAGTTAATTGAATTTCGAACTATCGCGATCCAGGAATCAAAGTTAAAGGCAGCAAGAATGCACATTTACGTGAGGAGAGGAGGTCCAAACTACCAAAAGGGTCTAGCAAAAATGCGAGAACTCGGAGAGGAAATTGGAATCCCTCTCGAGGTTAGTGAATGAATCAATGCTTTATTTCATTGATAGAGAAAATTGTTTGGAGGAAAGGTTTATTAATCCTTTTGAATATCTTCATTAAAGGTGTATGGACCGGAAGCAACGATGACCGGTATATGCAAAGAGGCGATACAATGCATCACTGCTTCCGCTTAAGAATCAATTTCAGGTCAGGTCGATGCTTCATTAGTATTTGCGTCATTTGCAGGTTTGATTTGAAGTGAACGTCGGTTCGTAATTTCCTTTCCCTTTCCTGGAGTTTGTAAATTTAGTTACAATATGTGTTTATAAAATCAAGTCATCTGAAAAGAGTGGTTCAGAGTGGTTGAGAATGTTGTATCATTTTTCTGTGTGGTAGAATTTGATGATACTGTCTTGATACAATAAAGTTTATTTTTTCCAATGTTTATAGAGTATTATTTCTTATCAGCTATGTTCTCCAATGTAGTCAAACCACATAGGACGTGAAGTTCCATCGAAAGGTAAAATTGAAATTAAATATAGGCTCTAATGATCTTGTAAATTAGCGAGTTTTTGATTTTGTTTTATATATATATATATATATATATATATATATATATATATATATATATATATATATATATATATATATATATATATATATATATATATATATATATATATATATATATATATATATATATATATATATATATATATATATATATATATATATATATATATATTTTTTTTTTTTTGGGTTTGAGTCTCTATATCTTATTTTTTGTGTTGATTTTAATTCTTAAAGGCAAAATTTGCAGGTATTTTCACTTTTTCAGATTTTAACTTTAGTGACTAAAATCAACACAAAAGTGAGATATATAGATTCAAATTCAAAAAGTCCATGCGTAAATGAGACACATCTTCATTTTATCTAAGTATCTTCCGGATAAATCTAGAAGGACACTTCCCTAAAATTAGTTTTTCAAAATCTATGCCTAAGCTTGTATACTATAGACAAGATTTTTTCCTGTTGAATGAACCATAACGATGTAGAATTTTTGTTCACAATATCCATATAAAAAAGCAAAGAGGAGGCATCATAGGTTGACGCATGCATTCAAACATGCATTTAAATTTACACCTATGTGCCATAGACATTGGTGCATTCACCACCAATAGGTCAGGTGCACACATCTCTTTTTGTACACATAGGTGTCGGACCTATTAGTTCATTTTTTTGTTCTACAACACTGGTGCAAATAGGAGTTGTAGGTTGGTGGTGTATGCGTTGGTAATTGTGGCGCATATATAGTGCCTCCTTTTTACTACAATTTGTTTTTTGAAACACGAGGATTTTATAATATTATTGAAAAAGAAGGCTATTGTGGTAATAAAACTGAAAAACTTGGTTATTGTGAAAAAAATCTGACTATGTAAGCTATTATTTATTTATTTTTGACCGATGTTTTGTACCACAAATTAGATCATCATGCGCAAGGTTATGATAGTTAATGATCTGATAGTGGCATGTTTATAAATTATATATGTTGGTACTTTCATGTAGATCTAGGATGTCATGTTTTATATATTGGGAAAGAAAGCTTGGCCCCGCATAATTGTCTTATCTAAAATTCTATGAATTGCAAAAGTATATATCATAATTATTATTATTTTTGGTAAAATGAGGGTGTGACTGACTTATTATAAATTTGATGTATTATAGATGCGTTTAGAAATACATTTAGGTAATTTTAAATTTTCACTAAAGTGGATAAAACAATTCCCGCAAAAAATTAGCGTTGGACCTTGTGAGCTAAGCTCTCTAACCTCATCTCCAAACAAATCCTAGTTCAGACTTGTGAGCCTAGTTGACTATGAGCCGCCTTTTGTTAGAAAAGTGGTAAGGATGGTAACAACAGAAGTGCTCAACATATCCTAAAAATAAAAGATAATTAGAGAAGAGTAAATAATTTCTCTAAGACAAGTTGCAATTTAGACAAAATAATGAGTTCGCCATCCACACTAAAAAAGTACAAGAAACATAAAAAGTCTTTCCAATATACATAGTGGGTTCTGATCCTACTTGATATGAACCACTTACGTATATGTGAGAGTAATCATCCTACTTGATATGAGCCACTAATATAGACGTTAGATTAATCATGTTTTGTTCAGGAACTAGATATAGGTAATGAAATGATGGAATGAAATTCATATATGACATATTAGTCCTCTAGTGTGATAGATCAGACTTTTGGTGCAGCAGAGATGGGGTGAATCTACAAGGTTAACACTCCAACGCTCAAGTTACTGAATAAACGAAAAAATAATTTTAGAGTGAGAATGAATTGAATACGTGAAATGATACGATTTGGTCTTTATATATTATGAGCGGTTAAAATCATCTGTGTGTAATTCAATGCCTTATGTGAATTATCGTTCAATTAAATTCAATGGTGAGAGATGTGATGGAAGGCATGATTGTATGTCCTCGGCATGGATGGGAATCCACATGTTCTGTGTGCATTCTTCTAATACTTGTTATTGGGCATTCTTCTTGGATTTTACGGATGGCTCAAAACAGTTGCCCCTAAGCCCTTGTTCCTATACCACAAAATGAGGACTTTACTGAGTTCATATCCAGTGTGACCTCTAGTAGAAGAAAGTAGAAGAAAATATAAGAGCCTTGATGTGTTTGAGAAAAGTTGCATTAAATGTCTCCCCCATAATTAGCAACGCCTCGTAGGCACATTTTAACACATGTCCCTACGTCTGACGGTAATCACTCCTTCTCGTGCTAGGGAATTTGTGTGTTTCTCAAACAGTTTGCGATGAGATCTCGACCATTGGTGGCGTGGTTCACACTTCTCAATAATGTAGATCACACAATTCATCTTCTTAAGGAGAAGGAGATATATAAGGAGTTTTGGAGTTACCATGTCTCCTTTTTCGTCACTTATGAATCTTTGAGAGCTTATTCATGCGTTTGCAGCCTCTTTTGTCTTCACCAATCTCCTTCCTTCAACCATTACTTATGACGTACTTGTGCTTCCTTTTTTGGCAGAGCATACAACTTATGAGTCGCTAAAGTTCATCTTTTTCAGAGTAATGCATTAACATGTACTTTTATTTTATTTTCATACTTGCTTGCTTTATTAGGGTTTATAGATAAGAGAGATATGGGTTTTTAGTCTTTTCACTTTTGTACTTTGATGAATTCTCTTGCTATAAATGAATTTTGGTAGGATCGTAAAGTTTGTCTTTATATCGACCATATGCTTATACTTACACTAATTTCTTTTATGTGTTGTCAACCTCTTTTGACATATACAACCTCAACTCATATTCTAGAAGGCAACATAAGATAACTCTGCCGTGTGGGTAGACTAGGAGATGATGAATACTGTTTTGTCTTTTTCGGTGAGGGGTATTTACCTTGCATTTAATGAAATGGGTCTCTCCTCAGACTAGGGAAAGCTTCCCCCGAAAGGGACAAGAGTATTTGCAACAAGTACAATGAGTGTGTCATTCCCTTGCACGAATGCTTGTTTTCTTTGATAGCTTTTAGTATCCCCTTTAACAAATTGAAGCGGGCATTCTAAAACATATAATAATTTCTCCTTCACAACTTCACTCGAACAACTAGGATTATATCAAAGCCTTCTAGTACTTGTGTGAATACAAGAAAGGTGTGTCGTCATTGACCTATTCTCATATAGCATCCCTGACTAGTAATATGCAATTTTAATTAGCTATTAATATTATCACCCAAAGCTCTCATCGTAACTCATGTATGAGTCAACAACGTGAGATCAAAGAACAAAGAATTAAGAACAAAGAATTCAAAATAAGCATTAAGAACAAAAGATTCATCAATACTAAAGCATAAGAAGAATTGCATAAAACGCCACGATCAGGATCAAAACATGAGTACCAAGACAACTACATATAACCACAACAAAAGAGAAAATTAACTAAACTTACTCATCATAGCTTTTCAATTAAGCTCGATAAGAAATATTTTGAAAATTATCTATTGTCGATTCCTCGAACAATGCTTCCGCCCTTGATCTTCCTCTCTTTTCCTCTCTTATCGTGTTTCTCACTCCCTACTAAGATAACTATTTAATTTCGTAAATTTTTTCCAAGATCTATTAGATATTTCCAATATATTTTCAACTAAACAAAATGGACCCCTATTTATAATTATCTGACCTGCCACTCGCGCTAAGCGAGCTCAAAACCTTGATTAGTGTGGCTACAATCTTCCTCATTAAGAAATACCAACTCATCTTTAAAAGGTCTTGGCCTCCATAATCTCGCTTAGCGCGCCTCTAACTCGCTTAGCGAGAAACTTTACTTTGCCTTGAAGTAACTTAACCTTGAAATTTTTTGACACACCATACCACGCTTAGTGCGTATGCTAGCGAGTTTTGGTGCTTGACCGAGGTTTGCTTGGTATTTTGCTACCTATTTCTTGCTTAGCGATGTATGGTTCTTGGCTAAGCTAGCTTTGATGTCTAAATGATATAATTTTGTCTACTTTTGGTGCTTTCTTGGTCCTTTTTGATTGTTATTGATAAATACACAATTAAAAATTTTATACGACTGTTTTATCGTATTTCCTAATAATATGGGTTTTTCATTGATTACTTGAAAAATAAGCTAATAAGTGCTTATGAATTTTACGTATTTTTAACACTTCCTAACTCCCTAAAACTTATTTTTTTTGTTTATGCTCAAACAAAATCAATACAAATGATTCAGAAAATTTATTATCACGAAAGGTCTCAAGACTCCATCAAGAAATTTTTGAAAACATTTTGAAGTATGACATGAGTTTTTTTCCCCTCTGAATGCAAGTTAATAATCAACATTTTAAGCATCCATAAATTATAACATGAAGATAAAAAATTGCTTCACCAAAGTGTCGCTACGCAAAAAATGACACAGAGTCGCCACCGAATTTTATTTATTTCCAGAGGAAATGGAAAATAACGATAAAATCCCCTAAAGGTAAAAAATGATCTCGCAATCAAATTTGATTTCGAAATTCGGTTATGCAAGGGGAAGATACTAGAACTCCCTCACATTCATCGTGTTCGATGAGAACCATCTAAATTGTCTAAGCTCGAATGGATGTTCTATTCTAAAAGTCTACTTGCTAAAGGGAAAAAGGGTTGGTTTTTTTA